ATTTACCCAATAGCCTTGGAATGGCCCCAATGAGTTGAAATTAGCTCTTTGTGGACGCTTCAAGGCCATGACTTGAGCAGATCATCCATGGGGATCAAGAGAGAGCCTTACAATATTTAAGGAGAGCCTTCTCCCTCTATTTGGGACCACTCCTCCTCAGTTATTATTAGTTATAGGTAAGTTATAAGCTACAAAGGCATCCACCTTCTCTTATAAATTAAGAGGACTGGCCTTTTTCTCTTATTATTATCTTATAATAAAACTCCACCCTCAATAACTTTTATAAGTTGATTGGGAAGACCTGTGTTAAAGTCTAGGTAACCCTTCTGAGGATTTACATCCATTATCAGGAAGCTGGTAGCAGGGTAGTAACCTGTTCTTTTCTCTTACACTTAATTATAAGTGTTCAAGAGTCTAGTTTCTTTTTATCAATCTTTGATTGATTAATATTTTTGTGTTTGGTAATATTAAATTTACCCATTTTTTGAAGTTGTCTATACTTAGCACGCCACTATAAGTGGAATAGAGCTAGTATATTTGACACTTACAGTATGTATGAATGCGCCCCAAAGCTGCCCAATGTTTGATGAAGAGTGAGGAAAAACAAACTCAAAACCTAACCATGAAACTACAACTAAATCTGTCTCCATCTGTTTTATTCTTTTCATTTCATTTATCATCCCACTTTGCTTGTTTTGCACCACCCTCACTCACACCTCATTGTTCCTCTGTGTCACTCAGGTATGCTTCATTAAGCTGTCCCAAATCTGATATTAAATTCGACTTTTTTTGAAAACCAGTTGACTAAATAATTGTGGATTTGGTCATATTAATAGGGGGTATCAAATATGACCAAATACACGATTATTTAATCAACTGGTTTCCAAAAATCCACCATTTGAAAAAACATGGAAATTCATGTAGAGAAGATCAAAATCCCCACAAGTGGAATTTTGTTGAAAATCTAATTGACTGGTTTTAATGGTGGATTTGGCCATGTTTGAAACCCCCTAATACTTTGTATACAATTGTGGTTTTTTTATCCACAAGGATCCCGCACCCTTTGTATCTCTCTCTCATTTGCAACTTGATGGAATCAATCTCATAATCTTCTCATGATGCCTCTGGCTTGTCAGATTCAGCATCAGAGTCTATAACCTTTAATATCAAATATGACAAAATCCACCTTCAAAACCCATTGATTAGAAATCATCAAATCCACAATTTCTAATTGACGGATTTCCAAAAAAGTGTAGCTCAAATCACAACAGATTTCAAAACCAAAAAAAGTAAATATTTGCTCCCAAACATGGGTTTCATAAATAATTACTTAATTTGGGAATCATCAAATCATCACTGCCTCACAATACTCACCTCACCTC